CTGCTTTTTTTTTTTTTTTAACATACAGTGTATTATTTCAGAGGTACAGATCGGCAATTCAACAGTCTGACACAATTCACAGTGCTCACCATAGCACATACCCTATCCAATGTCTGTCACCCAGCCACCCCATCCCTCCCACCCACCACCACTCCAGCAACCCTGTTTGTTTCCTGAGATTAAGAATTCCTCATATCAGTGAGATCATATGATACATGTCTTTCTCTGATTGACTTATTTCGCCCAGCATAATACCCTCCAGTTCCATCCACGTCGTTGAAAATGGCAAGATCTCATCCCTTTTGATGGCTGCATAATATTCCATTGTGTATGTATACCACATCTTCTTTATTCATTCATCTGTCAATGGACATCTTGGCTCTTTCCATAGTTTGGCTCTTGTGGGCATTGCTGCTATAAACATCGAGCTGCACGTACCCCTTCGGATCCCTACGTTTGTATCTTTGGGGTAAATACCCAGTAGTGCAATTGCTGGGTCGTAGGGTAGCTCTATTTTCAACTTTTTGAGGAACCTCCATACCGTTCTCCAGAGTGGCTGCACCAGCTTGCATTCCCACCAGCAGTGTAGGAGGGTTCCCCTTTCTCCACATCCCTGCCAACATCTGTCGTTTCCTGGCTTGTTAATTTTAGCCATTCTGACTGGTGTGAAGTGGTATCTCATTGAGGTTTTGATTTGGATTTCCCTGATGCTGAGCAATGTTGAGCATCGTCTTATCTTTTTTTACTCCCATTTGCCTTTTAACTTGCCATAAAGTGAGAGCATGGGAATAAAGAGTAGCCACAGAATATCTTGCACAGATGTGGTCAGACAAGTTGTGTTTAGGACAGAGAAGAGGTTGCGTATACTACCATACTATTGTTATCATGTGAACTTGAGAATAATGACTTATTTTTGCTGCCTTTTCAGGTTTTAGCTACAGAATGGGGGGGAATGCCATTTCTTGCATATCTAAAGTTTTTGGGGTGTCTGCTGGCTCAGTTGGAAAGCATGTGACTCTTGATCTTGGGGTTGTTGAGTTTGAGCCCTGCATTGGGTGGAGATTACTTAAACTTAAAAAATTAGTTTTCTTCAGGAAGGAGTGGCTTACCATACCATAGCCTTCCTTCATGAAAAATCTGAATACTAGGGATAAGACTAAACTGGAGGAATAGGTTCCCTCTTTATCTAAAAACATTAAAGTTTATCAGAAAGACAATGGGAGCCAGGCATTGGTCATAACATGTATGTGAAGTCATCTCAGAGAGGGAAATGACTGGCATAAAGTCTCAGAATAGGGCCTGGGACTCAGCTCTTGCCAACTAAGTCCAAATTGAAAACTAGACCATTAGTAAAAAGTCTGTCATATAACTAGGCT